TCAGCAGGGCTGCCCTCGATCCCTTCATCCCACAGTCTGTATTGATGCCAGGGGTTGCCCTGACTCAGGTTGCAGGACCTTGCACTTGGCCTTGTTGAACCTCTTGAGTTTCACACATGGTCACTTCTTGAGCTTGTCAAGGTTCCTCTGGATGGCATCCCATCCCTCAGATGCGTCAATAAGGGCATTACAGGTACCTTGTAAACATGTGGCAAGCCAACATAAATTACAGCTTGGAATGGCCTGGTATTCCTGCATCAATCATTCAGTCTATTAAAAAAACCTACCTAAGAGTAAAAAGTAAACTGTGAGAAAACAGACAAAGCCCTACATCTAAATTTGCCAATTCATGGGCAATTTCCTGGATTCAGTTCTGCAATTCTTAGTTCTTTATCTGACTGAAAGCGCAATTACTAGACAGATTAAAAACAGCATTATTTTTAATCACACAATGAAATGTAATTATTAAGCAGAAATCAGTAACACCATTTCCTACCTTTCCAATTACGTGGCCATTGACAAGAGCAAGAGCAAGACGTGGCATCTGATGACTGCTGAATATATATGTATTTCTCCCTTTGACATTTACATCAAAAAGACCTAAGAGTTAAACGAAAAAAAAAGTTAGAAGTATGAGAATATATTAATTCGTACTTGCATTTAATTACAATCGATGATTAATAACTTTCAAGACAAATTAATCAAGTGTTTAACTCAACAGTTTGACCTCTTTGATCAATGAATCATTGAATGGTTTGGGTTGGAGGGGATCTTAAAGCTCACTCAGTGCCACCCTCCTGCCATGGGCAGGGACACCTTCCACCAGACCAGGTTGCTCCCAGTCCCATCCAGCCTGGCCTTGAGCACTGCCAGGGAGGGGGCAGCCACAGCTGCTCTGGGCAGCCTGTGCCAGCGCGTCACCGCCCTCACAGGGAAGAATTTCTGCCTCAGATCTCATCTCAATCTCCTCTCTTTCAGCCTGAACCCGTTACCCCTCATCCCATCACCACACCCCCTGATCAAGAGTCCCCCCCACCTCTCCTGCAGCCCCCTTCCAGCACTGAAGGCCGCTCTAAGGTCTCCCTGGAGCCTTCTCTTCCCCAGGCTGAACCACCCCAACTCCCCCAGCCTGTCCTCACAGGGAGCTGCTCCAGCCCCTGAGCATCTTCGTGGCCTCCTCTGGACTTGCTCCAACAGGTTAAATCCCCTCATCCCTTTAGGGCATTTATAGAGTACTGTCTACTTCACTGACTTGAGAAGAAAAACCCTGAGAGCTAATGATAAGAAGCAAATTTCTTTTGATTAGTGTATATGTTTAAAAAGAAAAAAAAAAAAAATCCATAAAAAGGAGCTAAGGACTCCAGTTTAATGAACTGGGCTATAGCAATGAATTTGTGTGATAAATAACAGATCACGTAGGGAACATAAAGCTCTCAGGTAGGAAAAGAGAACTCATTTCCCATGTATCCATATTAGAATTTGTAAAGCAAATCTTGTAGCACAGCTCATGGCTTCTAATATTTTAAATCTGGCCAATTTTCCAAACAATTACCTCTTATAGCTGCAAAATACTGGTGAAAGCTAAAGTAGTGTCATTTTTATTGTTCCCAGTAGCGACAGCTGATTTTTTAAAAGTCTCTTCTACCAGTACATTATGTTGCCCATTTGTAAGGTGCAGTTGTCTCTGGAGGACTCCTGTGGTGTCCATAACCTAAGATTTTCAGGGTGTCATTGGCAACATGAGAATTATACAGCCAAGGATCATTGCGCCCATCGGGATGATGCAACAAATCATAAAATAAGATGGGTCTTCTAGTCCTTGAGGCAAGAGAGGGAGGACATGTAACTGTCACAATGGGTCTCTGCTGCCAGGTAGAGATAAAGCTTCCCGAGAAATTAGAAGACCCTAGACCAAATCATTGTCTGATATAATTTGCCATCACTACTTTGAAGGCCTTTGAATTATATTGCTTTAGATCTGCTAAAGACAAATAAACACCAACATCTGAAATGCAGAGTTTTCTGTTAGGACAGACAGGTAGATAACTTGTGTCAGAGGACTTCATTCCAGAGTACACACAAGTAAGCAGGGCCCCTAAATGAAAATTCAAACAACAGTTCCCAAGTCAGCACTTGTAGACTTCTGTTGCACATGACTGCTCTAGATGCTTTGTAATTTACTGCACATGTAAGTAAACCAAACAAATCTGAAAGAAGTCAAGGGAGAAAGGTATTATACTGAAGGAAGAAGAGCTGCATGATAGGTGTCTGCATTAATTTTGTGCTTGTTTTTGGTTTGCACTCTGAACTATAAAAAAAAGAACATACGGTTATTCCTATGGCACTATTCATTCCTGTGATATCAGGGCAACTTTATCATATTGCTCAGAAAAATCAAGCTCTTTTTGACTTCCAGTTAATTCCTAAGCATTACTAAATCCTTGGGAGGTTGTGGATCACACTACTAATTTTTCTGACTTCCAGTCTAAATTAATTAACAGCCGGTTTATACCAATTTTGGTTTGATCTTTCTTTCTGTGCTGGTTTGGGCTGGGATGGAGTTAATTTTCTCCACAGCAGCTGGTACGGCCATGGTTTGGATTGGTGCTGGGAACAGCGCTGGTCACAGGGGGGGTGTTAGTTACTGCTGGGCAGGGCTGACCCAGAGCCAAGGGCGCTTCTGCTCCTCACCCCACCCCACCAGCGAGGGGGCTGGGGGGGCACGAGGAGCTGGGAGGGGACACAGCCAGGACAGCTGACCCCAACCGACCAAAGGGGGGTCCCAGACCGTGTGACGTCATGCTCAGCCGGGGGAAGGAGGAGGAAGGGGGGACGTTGGGAGTGATGGCGTTGGTCTTCCCAAGTCACTGCTATACGTGATGAAGCCCAGCTCTCCTGGAGATGGCTGAACTCCTGCCTGCCCATGGGGAGCGGGGACTGAATTCCTTGTTCTGCTGTGCTGGCGTGTGCGGCTTTTGCTTTCCCTGTCGAATTGTCTTTATCTCAGCCCACAAGTTTTCTCACTTTTAGCCTTTCAATTCTCTCTCCCATCCCAGCTGGGGGGAGTGAGCGAGAGGCTCTGTAGGGCTGAACTGTCGGCTGGGGTTAAACCATGACACTTTCTAATGTATTTAATTGTATTTATTATCTTTAACTGCTGATATTTAGTAGTTGTGCATCCAATTTGGTACTTGTGCAATTATACACATCACTCATTTAAAACTGTGGAGATAACATTCATATGAATTTTATGTCTAGCATGTGAAAATGTACCAAAAAGGTACAGAATGCAATAAAAATGTCACACGTTATGTCCAAAAAAATACCATTAGAAAGGCACTAATTTATAGAAAAGAAAGTGCATCTAGGTGGAAATTGGGAAGCAGTCTGCAGCGTGAACTTGAGTTCTGCATGTTAGAAGACTATGAACTCTGCAGTGTCTCAATGATCCGATTTGTCTAATTCAAACCAGATACAATCCAGCGATTGAAGACACAGCATTAAAAATCAGCAAAGATGTGCTTACTGCATCAGTGCAGATTAGAGACCGAATCCTACAAGCAGGCAGTTTGGTCTGTCACCAAGTAATTCACAGTTTGTGATCCTAAATGGATCTCCTTGGAGGACAGACACTACCATGCTGTTCAACTGCTTCCAGGCATGTCAGACGTGGGCGAATCCTAAAGCTGTAGATAGGAGGCTTGTGTTTATCAACATCTGAGTCACCAAATACTTGGAACCCAAGGACCAAAACTGCTAACTAATAAGAAGAGCTTTAGTAAAACAGCGTAACACCCACATTCAATGTTGGAACATTACTGATCTCTGGTATTACACATTTGAGTTCTTTGGTGCAGTTTTGCTAAGGCGCCTTTACAGGCTTTGCTAAAGGGTATTGATTGCGCTGCTGTCCACGCACTCCTTGGCGTCTCCTGAAAGATTCTATCACTTCAAAAAATGTGTGTGTAAGGTCCCTGGGAAGATGTCACAAATGCTGAGCAGCTCCGTTACTACACAGATAACAAAAATATGTGTGCCTAATATGATACGTACTATTGTTGTCAGTAACACAGTAGGATGGATGTTGTTAAAGAGGAGGAACTAGAAGAGTGCCATTGAAATCAACGACAAGGATGGAATAAAATTAATGTATACATATATGTATATATACACACACTACATGTATATATACACACACTACCTATTAATGAACTATACTTGGAAATTTGAACTTGTTATTTTAGATCGATCTAGTTACAAAAGGCTGTAGCTGTCCTCACCATGGGAGCATTAAACTGTGGATAACAAGAAGTTTCTATTTGGTAAGTGAAAGCCAGTGACAAAGTACCATATAAGATTATTTTGTTCTTTGTTTATAAAGCAAGCGTATAATTTCTGAGTTCTTATGGCCATTAACACTTGTCAATGTTTTAAGTAAGGAAAATATTTATTAGAATTATCTACTGCTATTCATTACAGGAATGGCTGTATGAGATCACGGTGAACTATAAAGTCCTCCTTTCTAGTATCTTTTCTGCATACATCCATATGAAAAATACTTTACCATATTTGTTTTTCTTGTCACCAAGAGCATCAACTCTGCTGTCTGGCCCGAGGCAAATGAAGCCACGGGTGAGCCGGTTGTAAAACTGAAGTGTATTGCCTTCTTGAAATTTCCACTTTTTGGCAGCCCGCTAGTTTTATAAACAACAAGCAGAAAAGTCTTATGAGAAGATGATACACAGACATTTGACGTACATGAGGAACAATGGAGCTGATTTCACTCAAAGGGTAACTTAAATGGTTTAAATAAAAATAAAAAGGTATGTTCTTACAGCTTCCTCTCTCCTGAGTTCCAGCTCTTGTCCTGTGTAGATAAAAACAGTGTTATTAATTTACAGAGCATCCTTGTTCCATCTGACCCAGTTGCAGTGAGGCTGCGTTCTCCTCCCCACCAATTTTCACTTACTTCCTGGAAACGTGCTGGCATCTGTCACAGCCAGTTCTCTAGCAATGTTGCCATCGTCCTGCCCCTGGTCCAGCCACCTGAAACCCAGAACCCATTTCAGTAATATACTGTGCACTCACATACTGATACCTGTTGTTCTATTTATTAAAAACAGCAATACAAAAATCCAGTTTAGTGAAAAGAGATTGACTTTGGCAAAAATGGTTTTGTTTCTTTGTTCTTGATGAAAACTTATAAATAAAAGTTTGCCTGGACTGAGGTACAAGGGCCTAAGCCAATTATTACAAATGAGAGAGCTCATATTGATCCCAGATCAATAACAAAGGTGCAATGGTCCCGATGGTTGCTCTTCCTGTCTGCAAGAAGGCTACAGCACGATGCAAATTGTTCCATGCCCTGTAAATCCCTATATAGGGAGGCAAATCCAACACAGGCAACCATTTTACCATGTCTGAGCTATACTTTTACAATGCCGTTGTACCCGCTTCACATCTACTGACATAAGTTAAGTCTAACTCCATTTGAGTCAAAAGGATTCACACGCTGTGGGAGCAAGATCAGCAAGCACAGCGTCGGGCTCTAACAATAACTGGCACATACCCTGTATTTTTCTGCCTGAAATGGATTTGAACTCTCCCTAAATTATGTATGAAGCTAGCATTATAGATCTCTTCATAGCAGTTCATCTCATCTAGAATACAGAATCGAAATTAGGTCAGGCAAAGATGAGGTGCTGTATCTGATAGGCAGAAAGCCCTTACTCACACATAAATCAGTTTCAGCGTGCACATCGCTCACTCCGAGCTGTCTCAGGCAGTTATTTATTCACTTCGAGAAGTGAGAGGAGGAAATAGAATTGAGGTGCCACTGGCAAGCTGCAGCTAGATTCATACGTGACTGGACTTTACCATTCCTAATATTTGCACTGATCTTTATCAATTATAATTTTTCCATAAGGTGTTGAGAATTAATCAGGCATAGATAAAATTAGAAACGAGCTATAGAACAGAAGATTCAGAGCAGCAGCATCTGCAGGGGAAAAGGCAGGGAAGTTAGGGTTGCTTCAAATCACGTTGCAGCTCAGTGAGAAGCTGCAAGGCAAATGAGAAAAAGAGATGTGGTCAGGTAGCTGCATTTGTAACAGCCGTTTCACAGGGTCTTAAAGTCTGATCCTGAGCTCATTGAACCCCAAGTTAATCTCCATACTAACTTCAGTAGGATCAGTCTGTTAGAGAAACAGCAACCCACTCTTCTGAAAAGCCTTGCATTGCATGATACGGAAGAATGGATGGACCTGCTCATGTCAAATCCAAGGTGTTGGATATGGGCAATGTGTCAAAAAAGCACACCTTGAATGGTTCACAGCGTGCAAGAATGGAAAGTTCCAAGGCAGAAATTTTTCTTGGTTTTTCATTGGCTCAAATGCACTAGAGATTTGGGACAGAGAGCTGTAAAAAGAATTCAACCATTTCAGCTCACTCTTTAGGAAACACATATTTCCCCTGACAGGATATTTCAGAAGAAAAACTATGAGTAATTACAAATTTATTAAAACTCTAACCCAAATGAAACATGACCAACCTGTGACAAAGAAAAGTATAATCCAGATCTGTTATAGGATCCTTGATTACGACTTTGTCCAGAAACCAACCATTTCCTTCAAATAAATTAAAAAAAAAAAAAAAAAAGTCAATCAGTTCATGAGGGGCAGATTTAATGAAGTCTGACTTCCTGTGACTTTCTTCTACTGGAACTGAAAAATCTGCAGCTCCACTGGCAGGTTGCTAGGGTCATGGCTGCCCTGATGGCTGGAGAGAAGACAGTGCCTGCTCTAGGTACAGTAGAGCTTGCTCATGGGCCTGCAAGCTGCTAGGTCCTTCCCTGGCTGTCACGGCCCTGAGCGCTGCCCTCATTTAACATAGTCATTGTACGAGACTTACTTGTTTTGCCAATCAAAATATCAGCAAGATTAGATAGCAGCTTCTCATGGCTCAAAATAAGTTGCCATGTTTTACAGTATTTAGGCTCAAGAGTTTGAAAAACAGGTCTTGTGGCTGCAAGCAATTTGAGTTTCACCATTAATTGGGTGTCTAATGACAAGATAGTGTAGCCAAAATCTCCAACTGCATCTTTACAGTGTAACTGATAACGCTAATCAACCTAAATTATAATAGCCCATTTTATCTACAACACAGACTGCACAAGACATATTCAACGTCTTATCAAGCAGACACTCCCCTGCTTCACAGATTTCCATAGGGATTAGTCAAAAAATGACAGAACAGTAGCAGATGGTGTCCTTAACATAATGGTTGAGAGCACAGTGAAAGTGAACAAAAAATATTTGAAATTTTTGATGATACAATAAGGTAACTGTGTCACTTGAAGAGTTTCCTTAGAAGCCTTTGTCTTTCACTTCTAAAATGTTTTCATACATTCAGTTTCAGAAATACATATTGTATTTCAAAGGGTTAATAACTTCACAGGCGGTATTCAGTGGCTATAGAGAGAGAATTCTGACCTGATCCAAGACCACTGTGTCCTATAACAATCTTGTACAAACGTCCGAGGTGCACAGCTTCCACACCAAAGATGTCAGTCTGTAATTAATCAACAAAATTTCGGTAAAAGGCAGAGCTTTCTTCAGCCATGGAATCATGAAGACCCGCAAACCCATAGAACTCTTCTGTCAAGATCATCCCTTGAAATATCAGCTAATGATAAGGCTAGAACGAACCAAGGAGGACAGGTTTCCTGAAATAAAAGTGGTAAGTAAGCCTGATCACTTTGCTAATGGGAACAGTTCCATTCAAATGAATGGGATCAGAGTCAGAAAAGAGAAACCTGCTGAAAGCTTAATTGGCTAAAAAATTACAAATTACTGCAGATTTCAACATTAGAAGTGCAGATATAAAATGTAAAGTTTTGTTTTCTCTTCACTTACTAAATCAAATTTTTAGAAGACTTAAAACCAAATGTGCACACTTTACCTATTTTATAAATGAAAATTCTGTCTTCCAAAAGCACTGATACACCTTTAGAAAGCATTTTTGGCTTAATTATGGAATGTTGGGGAAACATTAGTTATCTCTTTTCTAGTTGCACCTTGCCTGGGATAACCACCCCCCTGAGAGAGAAAAAATGCTCTGTCTTTCACTTACTTGTCCTTTTAAAAATTTCTGGGGTTTCTGTGACCTGACCAGCCGTCTCGATCCTGTATCACCTCGTTCTCCATAGACAGAAATATAGACATCAGCCTCAGTTCCAGCATTCCACAGTTCTCCTGTTGTCACATGCACTTCATAGACAGTCACTGACAATAAAAGACAACAACCTTTCATATCACAAACACTATTATAGTTACAATAACATCTAGCGTGAATGTGTCTGTAGAGCCTGAATACATCTGTGTCAAGGGCAATTAGAGTATAAACACTTAAAAACCCTATTCAATATTGAGTAAAATGATGTACAAACTTGATTTGATGTTACATTTATGCTTTTTATCCCAGACTGTCACTATGGGGAATGCAAACAGAATTGAACTGTAAATGCCCAATAGTATGTCTTTTTCCTGCAGCATCTTTTGAAATCATCATAAAGCAGAAAAGTAAATAACGTAAATCCAAGATTAGCCTCACCATAAGTGGCAAGATCAAAAGTATAACAAGCAACAGGAGCCGTTAACGTTTTGAATGGTTAACCAAACAAGCAAAAACCTAGCACCGTAGTTTTAGTTTTCCTAGCAACTCAAAACTCAGAAAGCTGCACTGTGTTATTATTTTACTAACCCATGCAATAGGATGGTATAGACTTCCTCTACTACATTCCATGCAGAAATTCTTTAAAGTCTGTAAATTTGGGAGGAAAAAACTAGGACTTAAATTCAACGAACAGGTTCTTTAATAAAAATGGATAACGCAAATAAAATTAAATTTGAGTCAAAATACAATGAAACTGGAATAAAGACTATGATACATAAAAATACGTATCAATAGAAAACTGTGGACATTTAAATGCAGATGTAGGATACCCATAAAATTCATAATTAAGGTAAAAACCTGCAAATAGCTTTCAGTAGAAACACGTAAAGGCAAAGTTTATGCCAACATGCAGTAACAATATTTTGTTAGACCAAGTGAGGTACAGAGAGAATGAAAGGGGGAGAGAAAACCTCATTTTCTGGCACACAAACTCTTCTTCCAGATGTAGATGTCCTTGTGCTTCTCTGTCTTGCAAGTGGAAAAGAGTTTCTGGACCATTGGGTCCAGAACAACATCAACATTATCGTCATTCAATTATCAGTTTCCGCTTAAAATGTTATGAAGTTTGACTGTAATCCTCTGAATGAGATTTACCCACATCTCACTCTTCTGAGGGACAAACACCTCCTTTTACTAACCAGTGAAAAGTTATTGATGAGCAGTCCGTGTCTGCAGTTGTGGCAAGTGGCCGTTCAGTGTCTACAACTTACATTTTTTATGGTTCTCTCACATTTATTTACACGGCACTTGTGCGCAGGTTACTATACAAGCTGTCTTCAAAGAACTTGGTTTGGATAATGGTGACAATCTAACAAAAACAGTAAACACTCTGCACAGGCTATTTTAGTGTGTCTACACAGAACACTAGCGCTAATTTGCTTCTGGCATCAGAGCTAACTCACTGTACCACAGACATATGCTATTAGTAAGTCCAGCATAGAAGCTTACCTTAGCTAACCTAAAAGTTCAAGCAATTTTCACGGTTTGTACACTTCTCTTTACCTCCCATAAGCCTAGGGATCATCCCAGCTTTCTAGTAAGTTTTCATGAGTACTTACAATGCTTACAGCTTTTATCCTAGGAAATAGTGACTCAGTGGAATGAAGCTGCGTCAGGGGAAGTTCAGATTGGACAGTAGGAAAGGGTTCTGCACTGAGAGGGTGGTCGGTCACTGGAACAGGCTCCCCAGGGAAGTGCTCACAGCACCAAGGCTGTCAGAGTTCAAGGAGCATCTGGACAACGCTCTTGGTCACATGGTTTAATTTTAGATAGTCCTGCGAGGAGCAGGGAGTTAGACTTGAAGATCCTTATGGGTCCCTTCCAACTTGAGAGATTCTATGATTCTTTTCTTTAGATATTCCATGGAAAAGTGTGCAGAACAGAGGTTAAGAGAAGGAACTGTATTCTTTACATCTATTTTTTGTCTACAAGTGTAGAACATTACATTTGTAAACACATCATTGTGAAATTAGAAAGCGTAAGAGTTAAGATGATTTACAAAATTTAATTCTTTCATGCCTATGAATTATGAGAGACAGAACAAGGAGGTAAAACACATACCTTTTTTCAGATCAACTATTATTATTTGGACAAAAGCCAGACACATTTAAGGCACAGAAGCTTTTGACTAAGTTAGCAGCGTAGTCATGTACTATTTTTTCCCAGAGTATACCTGTATTAATACTCAAAATAGTTTTCATTTAGGAACTGTTAATTAATACTGAATTCTACCCACATCATGTACCATGTCACTACTTGATCTATTTACTTCCCCAAATTTTTCTCTACAGTACCCCATGCACAGACCATCGCAGAGGCAGAGAATTTATTTCTCCAGACCGACAATCCCAAGTCTAAGACCACAACAAACCTTTCTATGCCTACAATTGCCTTCTTCATTATCTATCCACTTTCCAGTTTCTGCAAGAAAAAAAGCAAAGGTCCACCAGCCACCAAACACTGTGTAACTCTGATTTATCCCCAGCAAGCAGTTCATCATCATATAATTAAAGATTGTGTCATAAAACATGAACAGAAGGGGACAAAAGTAGGATGGTTGAGGATAAAAGGTCAAATGAATGGTGCTCAGTCCCCCAGCATTAGAGCCCCAAAGTCTCTATGTAATATTTCTTAACAGTTTAATTCAGACGTTTTTCCTTTGAATAAAAAAGGCTGTTAAATCAGAAAGTGTTTCAGTCTCTTTTTATTCAGAAATTGGTTTTAAAGTGCCTCTCATCATCTCTCTTTCAGATTGAATCCAGACCTCTTCACTGTTCTGTTATCAAACTATCTTCTCTGAAGTTAAAAGCTATGCTCTCTTTTCACTGTCTCATGCAGAAATATAATATTGGCAAAAAGACATAGAGGCTGTCTTTCAATTACTAAGTTAGAGATGAAACTGCCTTCTCCAAAGCCTTCAGCATGATCCCTCATACTGAGGCTGGCAGAAATGCACAGAAGTTCTTTTCTTCCTCTCTTGTGTGAAGGAGAAATTGTTAACTAAAACATGCAGATTGAGAGGATGGTTTAAGTGTGCTGTTGTGCTTTACGATGCACCAAGATTACTGGATAATAAAAATCTTCCATTATATCTTTATTTCAGAAACAAGGAAACAACCTGCTCAGAAAGAAGAGCCAGAAAATTAGAAGGTGGGTAAGGTCAGTGTCGCAGAATAATAAGCAAGAGAACATTTGGGGAAGAACAGATACTGTAAGTAGGGGAATTGAACATATTCAATATAAATGTTGATTAATTAATGATCATTAACATGTTATTTAAAGGGAGGGTGTTTGGGTTTTATACCAATGTGCTTGTATATCCCCCTACACTAATAGTATCAAAGTCTCCTGACCAAAGAGACCAAACCGATGAGGAAGCAGGCTGACTGCCTCTGAGGCTTTTCATGCTATCAAGGGTATGAAGACCATAACCACTTAAGATCAAAAATCATTGTGGTTAGGACTGGCCAGCTTGTCTTTTATGAGCCATTTACAGCTGCTAACTACATCACTGGAAGAAATCTCTCTTGCTATTCTTTTCCTCCTAAAGACATATTAATGAGGCATAAACTTGTTTTTCTGCTCTTCTCAGGTTCTTAATCTCAGTGCTCAGCATCACAGATAGGCATAAATACAGCTCCAGGCCCCCCAACTCTTTATTACGAGAGTAACTGTCCTGTGGTATGTCTCCCTACGTCCATGGGCCGTTTTCTGGACTTCTGCTCCTCAATTTCCTTTATAATCTCTTCCTCTAGCCTGCACCCACAACAGCTCTTACCACTGAAATGCCAGTTACCCTTTCAATTTTGCAAGATTGACACGAAGTACTGTAAGCATAGCACCAAGTATTGCTACGGTATTAAACATTCTGAAAAAGGGGTTCTGTAGTTTTTAGAGAACTTTGAATTGAATGTTCTCTCATGCCATTAATCTTACTCTCTGCAGTTGCTATGATTTTTTGGTGAAGGGAAGAGAGGAGGGCGCAGTATCTGTCCCAGCTGGATCTTACTCTAGTGAAAGCTCCAACACATAGTGGTGCTATGACTTTTCCCCCTCTGTCATCACACCCTACAGGATGGGAATCTGCCCCAGCATTCTGGAATACACTGGTCTGGCTACACCCTTGTGCTTTCTCTCCTTAGGCCAGAAAACAGCGATGTGATTTGGAGAGAAGGGAAATGCAAGCACAGACTTTCCATTATTTTCCCATTGCTGAAGCGGAGAAATAGTATAGCAGCAACATCCAGCATGGAGGACAGGTATTGGTGGGGTAGAGGACAAAATTAAAATGGTATAACAGCAGCAACACCAAATAGTTTTTGTATTGTTTGGCATCGTTCACCTTTAGAATTACAATACAATCTTCATGTGAGTAATGGCGTTTTTAACACTTAGAGCCTTCTGAAATATTGTTAAAGTTTAGTCCCCACTCAGAAATTAAAAGTATTCTCAAAGCTTGTCTCACCACTTACAAGAAAGAAACTAAAACAGCAGCTACAATAGTCATACCAGAGCTATAATCCTCGGTTATTAAAAATAGAGTTTGTGATCTGACTCCCGTATGATGGTTTCATGGTAGTTATGCATATGTGAAGCATCTTTACCATTGACTCTATTTTAAAGCAAACACAAAGAAAGGTTCTTTTTAAAGGATCTGTGAAATTCAAAGCATTAAAGACTCTCCCATCTCCTTTCCAGCGATTCTCAACCTTTTACTTGAGTATGCCCAGTAGCCATGGGAAAACCACACATAAAAAGTGTTGTAGCACCCAAAAAGTTATAGAGGGTCTGATGAAAAGCAAAGAACTTGCCTCTATCGGCATCAGTCTGCAGCCTGACTTTGCTGATGTGGTACTGTGCTTACCTGGAAGGATCGGCTGGGCCCAAAACAGGAAGCTCCATAGATATTTCCCCATCAGGCTGGTCCCAGGCCAGCCATCGATGCGCAGGGAAAGAAAACTGCTCCCCTGAGAAAAGGTCCAGTAACTGCACCTAAACAGCACGAAGAATTTAAATTTAAGTTGGTGATCTCAGTCCAGATAGAACAGAACATGAAGTGCGTGGGATGCTGTTGAAATCTGTGCTGGTAGAGCTCTGTGGCGTGATCAGAAAACCATGGGTTTGAGACACGCCTGCTCCCCAGATACACCTGCCCCCAACCCGACTTTTCACTCAGATTCAGAAGTGCAAGGCAGAGTAACTCAAGTGCAGCCAAGACATAGGGTTTATTAGCACAGGTGCCATCCCACAGAACATAGCCGTGCTGTTCCAGCTAGAATATCCACACAGGCTGGCACTAGGTGGCATGGCTTACCAAACGCCCAAGTTCTCGCTGGGAAGCTTGGCAACGCTAGCCATTCTGTTCGCTTAACTTATTTTCTTATCAGAACAGGAATTAAACAAACAGGTTTTGATTCTTCAGCACTGCCTTAAATAAACCGTGAAGGTGTTAGCCCCAACACCAGTCTGCCCCACTCAACTTACTTCCATGTCCAACTTCTAGCATATAGCAGAAAAAGGATCATCTGCACACCAGCTGAGGAAGGGAAGGAGCTCTAGGTATTTTGTACTTCAAAGTGTTCCTTAGTAAGCACCTCAGAGGCTGCTGTCTATTAGAGCAGTCCCTAATTATGATAATTTATACTAGTAGCTAAACGAGATTTTGGACCTTTCTTGCTGCCCAGCTACAATGTTTTTAAAGACACATTAACGTATAGCTCTCACTAAACTGCAAACAAACAGCCAAGACATACGGTCATGAGCAGCCTTTAATTCCACACTTTTGTGGAACACAAACACTCCTTCATAAATAATCTCTTAAATAAAACTGCGAGCATTTGATAAGGCTAAGATATTTATCCTAGGGATTTTTCCCAACTCGAATTTTGACTCCACCGTCAGAGTGACTGCTTTTGGAAAGATAAAATTCTTTCTCACTGCTTTTACCTCTTCACAGTGCCAGGCGGGTGAGTTTCCTGTGTTCGTATGTCCTATGCGTATTTTGTAGAGATGGCCTATGTTTCCAGTATTAACCTGTAAAAGAAACATAACTGATGAAACACAGGCCACTGGTTAAAAAGAAAAGACATTCAATAGAAATTCACTTAATAACTGTCAGGTGACTTTTTTGCTTAGAGGAATCAAATATTCTGATATTTAAACAAGCGTTTCCAAAATATTTTCCTCTGGATAATTGTTAGAAGCCTGGCTCTTTTAAAGGACAACCCTCAAAAACCTGTTGACCTGCCGACCTCACTTAAATGGCTTCAGGATGCTGCTGTAGCTCTTTTGTTCTTTTATTCTCTTGCTGAATATTGGCCTCAGTGGGAGATGAACACGAACTCTATGTAAAACCAGAAAGCAAAAGTGTCTTGACCCTAAAGCCTGGCTCAGTTTATCACCTCTACCCCTGACCTGCTACAAAATGATTTGTCTCCCAATCACCTCACACATACCTCTGAGTTTCTCCCTACCCCTCCAGGAGGGTATGCCTTACAATTTCGGCAGCAATTGTGTTTAATTTTGATGTTTCTTTTTGCAAATTATTTCAACTAAATCAACTTTAAAAGCTGTATTTTAAAGATCAGCCCTTGGGCAGGCTGGATGAGTGTGTCCAGTACAGATAACAGGGTGCTGAGGGAATAACTGGTGTCAAGGTTATTCAAACAACTAGTTGTGAACTTAACTGTAGAAATAGAAAGCTTATCTTCAAGGAACTAGAAACACACTGTGAAGTGTCTTCCCCCCTTGCTGTAAAATTTTTTTTCTTATTATGTAGGCTAGATTTTCTGTCCTGCTGTTGTTTCTGTAGAATTGATTTTCATGTTTTCATTTACAGTGTAGAGGTGGGTGCGAACCAGGTTCCCTGTGTCATGAACTTCCCTGAACAGACAGACTTTATTATAGGTATAAAAATTGCCATTATTTGAATAAAGCAGCAGGTATTTAACAAAGTTTAAAATTTACTTCATACCTTAATTTTTCACCTTCTCATTTCATTTTTAATAGTGTAGCCCCATTTCAAATTTAAAAGCTAAACAAGTATCTGTGGTCCTATATTTCTTAGTATTTTCTTGGGTACTATTTAGTTCTTCTTAAACAGACAAGAAAAACGTTGGTTCAAATCAGCTTTGGATAGGCGAGTGGGAAAGGATACTAAATTTAATTCTACATTTAAGTCCTGTTTCTTGTTTCCAGATATACGTACCATACAAAAAACTGACTGTCTTTTCATCACATAGATTTTGAAAAGTCATGCAATCTGGCAGGGTACAAGAGGACAACACAATGCATATATGCTACGTACTGTGAAGATGTCTTCGTTGCCTCTTTGAAATAATTTTCCCTTCTCTCCATCAAGAAAAATAGGCCCCGAACTGCTGTGATCCCCATACAATGTAATATAAACTTTTGAGCTTGTTCCTGCAGATGGCATATCACTGGTGAGGACTGACACCTTCCATTTCCTAGCTATCAAAAGATAAAAAGACCCACTGAATTACTTAAATTCAAGATTCTTGAGCAAAATACATTTCCGTAACCAAAATTCTAAATAATACCGTGTCGATGAATACAGAAATAAGCGTTTCACAAAATCACAGCACGCAAATAGCGAGTTTGCTATGTTGGGCGTGAGAAAACCAAGAAATGCCAGGTTGCATTCACATCTTTTACTCTGCATATGCCATATGACTAAGTCAAATTTGCACGAACGCAGATCGCTTTTCAAGCATCGTTTTGAAATATTTTATTAAATTGTATTAAATATGGCTTTCTGTTTACTTCAATATATCAGCTCTGCCCAGCGCAGTGCTGCGCAATGACAGCCACGCAGGCTCTCAGCAAGCTAGATCTGCAGTCACAAACATCACTTCAGGCACCAGGGCTTCTCAAAGCAAATTAGCTCTGCTGAAAGAGACCTCTTCAAGAAAGGGTCTGTATCTCTGCAAAGGTGTGACGGGCTGTGCAAGTGTCACAGCTTGTTTGGAACCCACCGAAGGGTTACCAGCATGTTCTTGCACTGCAGTGTTGGCTTTATGCCCTGAGATACCAATACTCTTACCGTGGATAAATTTCATAATTATCAACACCAAGTATATGGATTTAGGCTTTGGTTTAGTGGAAGCTGAGTATCAATGGCCTGGAATTAAGGGAAATGGTATCACTGAGAGATAGCTGATAACAGGAGGGAATATTAAGAAAACACCGTCACTCCCCCTATTTAGCTGATACCCATCTCAAGAGGCAAACCAGCCTCTGGAGCTTGCTAAGATCATTTTGCACCACTGATTAATATCACTGCTTCTTCAAAAGAGAACTTTCTTTAAAGCACGGCAGCAGTAATAAAGGGCGTTACTGACCCTAGAAGCCCTCGACCATCTAGTGACTCACCTATGCTACACATCTTACCTGTACAACGCACTTTTCCCTCCATCACACTATCTTTCACCCTGTCTGCTGTGACTACACACTAAGAAATAATGTCGTGATGACAAGTGAGCTCATCATGATATGATGAATTTTGCGTTTATTGACTGTTTGAGAATAAATAGATCTGTGTGTCTTAAACCCCCAGCAATATGCTATCCTGCAGTTCTGTTGTAAGGCTCAGAGAAATCGCTTTTGTTTGGAGGGTCACTCAGTATTTTCAGTGCTAGCCATGGGCATTTTGGGAATCAGTGAATGTTGATCATGATACACACACAGAATTACGCTGGATATTATTTGAGGACTAGTGAAACCAATGATTTGAGGAATTTTAGTTTCTGTGGCATTCTGGAAAAAATAAGGTAGGGTTAGTGGTTTTACTTGCTTGTGTTTAGCCACGTCCACAAAGAAAAGATATTTAAGAAATAGATAATTAGGCTGACCTAGGCGCGGTGCATGTTGGTATCCTTTTATCTAGGAAACAAATGAGTTGAGAATATATGTCCTCCATACGACTAGCAGTTATGTTTGAATAATTCATACTCCTTTTAATAAAAGGCAGAAAACAAGGCACAGTAAAGGCACATTATGAAATCTAATATATTAATGAGACCTGATGGTAGACTCTTGTTTGTGTCTTGCTAGAACCATTGGCTTATACCTATAGAGGAAATTTTTACTTCTGTGTGGCCATTGTGCTTTGTGCATAAAACACACATTCCTTGGGAAATTGTAGAATCAGTAACTATTAAAATAGATATTGTCTCCCACACTTTGAAGGGAG